CAGCTCCCCTGCCGCCACATCCATTCACCTTTGGTACCACGCCCCACCGCACTCCACACTGCAACGCAATGGACCCGGGAGAGTCAGACCACTACCAACATCACAGGAATAGCCATGTAATAATCACGGAAACAGGATTAAACATCACAGTCACCACAATAATCCAACTGGACTAAATACAGTGCTACAAGAGAAATCATAACACAACAGGAATAACCGTCATCAGAATCATCACTGATCAGTCATCACTAAACTGTCAACAATCAACGAGAGGAATCATTGCAGAACCGGAATAGTCATCATTGTGGAAAAAATGAATAAATATAATCTCTAGCCGGAATAATCATTATCATCGCAAAACTGGAACATAATGCTGCGCATGCATCCTTGTGCGTTCCACTGTGTCTTCGCTGTCCAGGTGTAGATATCTAGATCCTCAGAAAGAGAAAGCACTGAGTCCACCAGCCAGCGTGGCCACAACATGCTGCACTGAACCCTTCTACACCTGCTACACAACAATACTGGAAGGCGCCTGCTGTGCATTGAGTCAACCACACAGCAGATACATACTGCACCCACCATCAGTGTAAGATAGAGGGAGTTCAAGGGAATCAGGAAAGGGTGTTATGGAAGGATGGAGGAGGAAAGATGATAGTTGTGTTCCTTGAGCAGTTTTTTTCTTCAATTGGCTATTTATTTTTTACGAATTTTTAAGCGTTTTCCACCACAGTGATTTTATACGTAAATAGCATGTGGCAACAATGACTAGACAGAAGCTAAAAAAATAGAAAAAGTTCTGCGTAAACGTATTATACCTCGACAATAAACATTTGGGCAATGTGCTGCTTCCTTGGTGTATGTGTGTTGTACTTTATTTGTAAACAATGTGAAACAGCACCATTAGTAGGCTATTTTATGCACAGATCGGATCATTTGAAGAATGACTTAATTTATTCACATATCACACGGTTGGAAATATTATATGGTTTGTAAGGCAGGTATACACTTGTATTGAATGTTATTAGTACTTTAGGTGTAGCTGAGACTGCTCAAATTTGTAAACCTTTTTTGCTAATGTTCTCTCCCTGTTGCTTTAATGTTTACCAAGAGCTCAGTCAAATGTATTTACAAGTGTGCATCTTAAACAAGGTAAAACAATTTAAGAAAAGTGCTTGTTTTTTAAAGTTCAAGCCAACTTAGAAGACAGAAGATAAGAGATACAAAAAGTCTGTGCTCTCACAGTATTCAGTTAGTCACTGTTTTGTTCTTTATGTTTAAAAATCTGTGTTCAGGATCCATTGTCCTGGTTGGTATTGTACTGGTAGTTAGTGTTAGAATCCCTCTACTAAAAGGTGCTACTGTGTCAGATCGTTTCAAACTTCTGTGCAGCTGAAGGAGAGACTGGAATTGGGTTCGAGATAGGAACGGAAAACAGAATATGAAATGTTTTTGGGAAAACATTTACGACTTGAAGTGTTCATCTAATTGTATGCACTGTGATATCTAGTCCCATGCTACAGTGTACTGAATGAATTGACATAATTATATGAATCAAGGCTAGACAAGAAAGAAAGAAACAATAAAACTCAATGTCAAACATCACTGGACAATTATACTTTTTCCAGCCACAAATACAGTACGTGTGAAGATGCAGTACAGTATCTTATAAGTACTGTAAGTACAAAGACATGGGTCCAAGGATGGAATCAACTTCCTGGCACCATAAAGGCAAATGAGACCTCTGGTAAGATCTCCATTAAGAGAGACGTGCTGTGTTCTCGGCTGACTACATTACACTGCCAGAACTCGCAACACCTGGATAGGCATCCAACAGCCACATCATAACCACATCATATGATATAGCAATCTGCTGAAGCTTTGCAGATTCCGCGATAGATCGAAATTTAAAGGTAATTTCCATTGAGCCGACATATTTACATTTTAGTCATTTAGCAGACGCTCTTATCCAGAGCGACTTACAGTTAGTGAGTGCATACATTTTTCATCCTGGCCCCCTGTGGGAATCAAACCCACAACCCTGCCGTTGCAAGCACCATGCTCACTGAGCTACACGGGACTATGCAGCATTTACCGTGAATGCAGTCTCCACTAAAGCGGGAACATTGCCTTTAAATTTCAATCATGCTGTAAAGCTGAACTTCCGCGATGCGGATTGAATAGATCCCTAAGTATACTGAACAAAAATATAAACACAACATGTAAAGTGTTGGTCCCATGTTTCATGAGCTGAAATAAAATATCCCTGAAATTTTCCATACGCACAAAAAGCTTATCTCTCAAATTTTGTGCACAAATATGTTTCCATCCCTGTTAGTAAGCATTTATCCTTTGTCAAGATAATCCATCCACCTGACAGATGTGGCATATCAAAAAGCTGATTAAACAGCATGATCAGTACACAGGTGCACCTTGTGCTGGGGACAATAAAAGGCCACTCTAAAATGTGCAGTTTTGTCACACAAGACAATGCCACAGATGTCTCAAGTTTTGAGGGAGCGCGTAATTGGCATGATGACTGCAGGAATGTCCACCAGACCTGTTGCCAGAGAATGGAATGTTCATTTCTCCACTATAAGCAGCCTCCAACGTTGTTTTAGAGAATTTGGCAGTACGTACAACTGGCCTCACAACCACAGACCAGCCCAGGATCTCCACATGTGGCTTCTTCACCTGCGGGATCGTCTAGGACGGGGGGACGGGACGGGGGGGGGGGGTGCTGAGGCTTATTTCTGTCTGTAACAAAGCCCTTTTGTGGGGAAAAACTCAGTCATGTGAAATCCATAAATTAGGGCCTAATTTATTTATTTAAATTTATGATTTCCTTATATGAACTGTAACTCAGTAAAAGCGTTGAAATTGTTGCATGTTCGTTTATATTTTTGTTCAGTATATTTTTTAAACCTCCCGCTGGATGTGTACATGCATAATCTATGAGAATAATTACTGTCTTGCCTCAATTAGCCACGAAAAATCTAGTTTGAAAGCAACTGTTTTTCTAGAAGCCATTTTCCCTACATTTTCCCCCACGTGGGCCAGCCCCCTAGCAATTTGAGTTCTAGCCAATGAGCTTCAGTCCCTTGCCATTTGAGTGACAGCTAGCAAGATACACACACAGCAAAGCGAGTGAGAGCAATGACGTGGTGCACATATCTGCACGTGTGACATAGTATGCAATTTTCAGGGACTTTTGGCTCGTGAGCGTTACTTTCAGAACTACTGGCAAAAAATTATACAAAAGCACCTGAGAATCTATTTAACAGGGCAGGTAATTGTGACTATCAAAACCAGGAAACATGAATGCCCTTAGTGCAGAAAAATGCACTTTCAATTGGATATTATTAGGTATGAGACACAGGCAGCGTTCCAGGCTGACTACATTACAGATGCCTGCCAGAACTCACAACGCCTGGAAAGGTGTTTATCAAAACAGCTTCCCACATCATATCATATAGTAATCTGATTCCCAACTGCACAGTCGATAACCAGTACCTCGCTCCCTCCAGGATTCCGCAATTCTGCGACACAAAGTCAACAATTCCCCGCATACTATGCGAGGCCTTGCAAATTTGACCAATCACTGCACGATTTCCGCATAATACAGTCAAATCATTGCAATATTATCGCATAAAACTAAAACTGACCCATCATCGCAGTACATAAAGAGGACTCAATTTCAACCAATCACCGTACATTTACCGCATAATATGGTTCAATCAAGCCACACATCAACAAACGTTTTCCTTCGTCACCGCATCTTAGTGACAAATTGGACAAAGTCATTGCATATTGCCATGCAAAATGTCAGAATTGCAGCAGCAAAATCAAGCATCTTTGCCCGCAGATATTGCAAAAAAATCCCCACGAAATCCCGGAGGGACAGGATGATGTGGCATGCAACCATTAGTTGTCTGCATTGAAGCCAGCCTGGAACACGACCGTAGTCACTTGCTACATTGTGGAAAGTACAAACTCATACACCATACAGGCCCCATACGCAAATATACAGTACCATACATACAGAAATACTAACATGTAAACTTGTGCAGTCTTGACTTTACAACCAAGCAGACTTTCTGACTGTTAATATGTGTAAATACTTCATTTATTTAGATTAATGTGTATAATAACATACTTATATATAGCTAGACAGTTCTTGAGGTTTGAGAAAGGACATATCAGCGACATTTCTTTGCTTTATTTGCGCATCATTTTGCACCTCACATAATTATGAAGGAACTAGACTTTCAACTGTGAAAGACACTGTGGTGAGTCCCGTTGGCACTGTAAAATAATGATCTACATTGAAAAACTGCAATATGAAAATATACATTCAGATAATCAGTTATAAATGGACTAACGTCATACAAAAAACAGCATTAAAAACAATTAAATGAGACAAATCTATATGAGTCAATTACTTTGGTGATTATTTAAAAAATATATATTGATCTTCTCCTCAACTCTTGATTGTCATGTTGCTGGAATGCAAATGCTGGAAGTAGTGGTCTGGATTCACTTTGGAGGAGAGCTGAATCTGGCCACCAGTGGGGGAAATCTCAGTGAATGCAGCCATAGTCCCGATTCAGGCTTGTGTAGTTTGTCCCTTGTCTTTCTCCACATAGCATGTCCATGCATAGTGTGTCAGATGGCTCGTGTCACTTGTGGGTGGAGCCTAATGATGCTCATCATACCGCCTCTGACTCAACCATGCTTCTTCTTCTTCTTCTTCCACAGAGGGTGCTATAATCCTGGAGTTTTTGCTGCAGAAAATGACATTGCTTGTAGATTATCAAACATATTTGTGCAAACAATATAACTATGACTGAGACAGAAAAAACGATACATATAGAAAACTTGACAGACAGACAGACAGACACACAAAGAGACAGACAGATACTGTAGATGGATACTCACAGATACTCCATGGCTTTCTCGCAGATGTAGCTGATGAGATCTTCACAGAAGAAATCATTCCACAGTCCCTCGTGGATGAGGCCAGCGCAGTCCTCTCCTCTCTCGTGCCCGTGGCTCCAGTTGTCTGGCTGTCCTGGCTTCCACTGCCTACAGTCACACAGCAGAGGGCACTCACACACTGAAATCCCCACTATACAGTGAGGGATGAAACCTAACTTGAGACACATGCAGGTAACTGTGGTCCTCTGTAGCTCAGCTGGTAGAGCACGGCGCTTGTAACGCCATGGTAGTGGGTTCGATCCCCGGGACCACCCATACACAAAAATGTATGCACGCATGACTGTAAGTCGCTTTGGATAAAAGCGTCTGCTAAATGGCATATTATTATTATTATTACTGTGACTTCCCCTTTAGTCTTGCACTGATATTAATGGGATTATCTCAGCTGTGAAAGACTAGCATCAGCCTTGACACTGAGGTGCTATACATACGAGAAGGCAGGTTCGGTTCCATCCAGCCAGCGCCATGCATTCTCCTCCTCCCTGTCTGTCAGACCCATCCAGAAGTAGCCCTTTCCAGAGGTCTGCTTTTGCAGCCATTTCTGAGAGAAAACAAGGAAACATGATGTCAGTAATGTCACTCATTTTATGACTATTCGAACAGTTGTGCTTTTGATTCCGAAAGGCCTATGAGGATGACTCTTCTTACCTGTTCATCCATATCGTTAATGATCACCATTGACGCAGTCTTGGCATCACAGCTTTTCTTTGCATCGTCAAAGTTGTGCAGCTCTTTGGAGAAGTGATAGCATTTGTCTCTGAAGCCAACCCACTCTTGAGGACAACCTGCAGTGAATGGTTATTGTTATACTTTCACAAAGAACTAATGTCCTGTCTATCATAGTTGGTGTTGACAGAGTGATACAGACATATCGATGGTGTATAAAAACTAATGAGTATCACCTGGGGCCGACACAGTAGGAGCGGGTGCCTCACTCTGCATCGAGAAAGGGACCAAAGGCACTGCTGCTGCAGATCGGGCAGGGAGTCCTGGCAGTCCAGATGGCCCTGGGGCCCCCACAGGTCCCACCGGTCCCCTGGGTCCCTGTGCCCCAGCCGGCCCCACCTGTCCTCGGTCTCCCGACAGACCTGGTGGCCCCTGAGGACCGGGCTGTCCGTCTCTCCCAGGGAGCCCAGCCGTGCCTGGCTCACCCTTCGCCCCCGGGGGTCCTGCCCTGCCCCCTGACCCTCGGGAGCCCTTTGACCCTGGATTCCCTCGTGAGCCTGGCTGACCTTTGAACCCTGGTATTCCTGGTGGTCCTGGAGATCCCTTCTCTCCACGGAGCCCCTGCACCCCAGGCCCACCCGTATCCCCTTTCTCCCCCTTCTGACCGGGCTGACCGGCTCCTCCCTGGGGTCCTTTGTCTCCCCGCGGGCCTCTTGGACCAGGTGGACCTGAAACAAGAAACAATAAAAATGATATAAACCTGCGTCTGTTCAACGCTGTACTGTTTTCAACTTTTGAGTGAACCAACTAAAAACCAACTAAAAAGCTACTAGTGTAATAGAGGAGTGTTTGTGTGTGTGTCACTTTGCCCTGCCTTCTTGTACATATCTACCTCAAATACCTCGTACCTCACATTGATCTGGTACTCCCTGTATATATAGCTCCATTCTTGTGTAATTTATTTTATTCCTCTTGTGTTTCTATTTTATTTTTAAACTCTCCATCGTTGGGAAGGGCTCATAAGCAAGCATTACACCAGTTGTATTCGGCGCATGTAAATGTGATTTCATTTGATTTACCCTGTAGGATGGTGAAGTTGGTGATGAGCTGTGAGTGCTTGCTGTCTACCAGCTTCATCTCCTCCATGATGATGGAGAGGCTGGTGACCTCCTTGTCCAGGCGGGCCGCCAGGTCGTCCTGCTGCGACCTCAGTGTGGTGGCGTCCGACCTCACGTCCGACACGGTGGCGTTCAGGTCGGACAGGTAGTCGGAGTGGCGCCCCACCGTCTCGGCGCAGGTGCGCAGCTCGTTGAGGTTGAGGTTGATGGCACCCAGGAGTTGGGTAGTAAAGCTGATATTGCCCGTCACACGGTCGATGCTCCCCTCTGACTCGTCCAGGCGTATCTCCAGCTGGTCGAACTTAGAGGAGGTGAGGTTGTCGTGGTCGCGCTGCTGGTCCATGATCTCCCTGAGGGTCTGGTCGTGGTTCTCCGCCAGGCTGGAGGTGTTCTGGAGCTGACCGGACAGCGAGGCCAGCTGAGATCCCACGTCCTCCAGGCTGTCGTTGTTGGCCTTGGCCAGGGCAGAGGCGTTGGAGGCCAGCACCTGGAGGTTCTGCACCTTTTCCCTCAGCCAATCAGTGTCCGACTTCGTCTGCCTGGCCGTCTGCTCCAGGCTCTGGAAGTCGTTTCGGATCTTCTGGATGGCCTGGCTGGTGTCGTCCACAGACCTCTGCAAAGCCGAGATCAGGCCCCTCTGTTGGGCCTGGGTGAGGTTAAGATTCCCGATGCTCAGCAGGGCCTGGCTCTGCTGCCGAACCTGCTCTTGGAGCTCCGTTTGCAGCCGAGCCGTGTCCTCCTGAAGACCCTCCATGGTGCCGCCGTAGGCCCGCAGGGTGCCGTTGACGGACCTCAGCGTGGCCGTGTTGGCGTCCAGCAGACCCTGTATGGAGCCCTGGCTGCCCTGCATGTCCAGGCCAGCATCCTGCAGACGACCCAGGGCCGCCCGGTTACTGCTGCTCCTCTCGGCCACCTCGGACAGCTGCCTCTGCAGAGCCCGGATGTTGTTCTTAAAGGCCTGGATCTCTGTGGTAGTGTTCTCCGACTTCTCACCAGTCTGGTCATCTGGGGACATGGTGTGAAAGAAATTGTTACTTGATGGTTGGTGTGGTTACTCTTCAATCAAAGACTTCAATCAAAGACTTCAATCAAAGTCTGTCAAAACAGTAACTCTTAATTGTTATTATTCAACACAATGCACAGGCTTAAGTTACAAAGGATACTGCATGGTCAACTGGCTATAGTATATGCCCTATACAGCTGTGACTATGTGGCAGGTAGTGGTGAAACTCACCTAGCTTTTTCAAGTCTGTTTCCACTGCAATGATCTTCCCCCCATAGCTCTCGATACCCTCGGACACATTTTCAACCTTTTGCACCACTGCAACACAAACAACACAACACAGTTCAGGGTTGGCTCTTCAGCACAGTGGTGGACGCCATACAATATTAACAGTCTGAGAAGGATGGGCAGAATAGCCTGCAACCACAGACACCATGTATAAAAGGGATCAGAAAGAATTATTATGAAACCTCACTCAGACACAATATATAAGATGTCTATATGTCTTGTGGGTATGTAATAATGGTCGCCTCAGCAATCACAAGCGCTAGGATTAGGAAATGGTCATGTAATACACAATAATGTCTCAATGACTGGGTGTGTCCATGAAGACTGAGCATGAGACACTGAAGACACTGGCAGATGAGTGCAGAGGGGGTGGGTGGTCAGAAGGAGTAGGGTCTGGAGAGGAGAGGGGTAGCACAGAGACACTGGAGGTACCCTGGGGGACAGGAAGCGACCCGAGGGGGGTCCTCAGTAAACAGGGGGATCAAAGGGTAACCTAAGGAGACAGACGCTGTGTCAGGGAGGGTCTTTACTCCCCCACAGGCGACAGGACCCTTCATTTCCTCTGGAATGTGTCTCGGATTCCATGGAATCACCCCACCACCACCACTTCCACAGGCTAGGGAGCCATCTCTAACCATCTAACTGGAGACCACAGGGGTTACAACCAGTGAAAACTGTACCCTAGCTGTTATTTCTATCCTCCACTTAAGAAAACAGGTAAAGACCAAGCAACTAATCAGGCTCAAAGACCCCACCGAGCTCAACCCTTAAATGGATATCATCATTCACTTTATTCTGACCACCAAGGGCCGAATCATCATAAAGATCATAAAGACACGAGGAGAAGATGCACCACCACCTCAATTCCTCCTTCTGACTGAGAGCACTGGAGGACATGGATAGATAGATCCCACTGTTATGATTGAGTGTGTTTATCTGGGCAAGCTGTACAGATGTAGCATCTTAACTTGAGCCAGTTTGCTACAGCAAGAAAATAAGCCTGCAGTAACAGGAACTGTGAATTATTATGTGGATTATAATTAATGGACATTTTGTAGGGGTTGATACATTTTTCGTAAGTGAAAATCAAGTCTGAAATTTCAAAGTGTAAATTACAAACTTCAGAATACTTTTTAAACCTCAAATGCACTATGGGCTCTATTTTAACAAACCTAACGCAATAGTACATTTAAGCGCTGGCGGTAGCGCTATATGTCCGGGGGGTGTCTGATTTTTTTTTGCTATTTTCACAGCCGTTATTATGAGCGCAGTAACTGACTGTGGAATGAAAGGGCTGGGTTTTGATGAATAAACAAGGTGTAGGTGTGACGAGGGCTTGGCCACTCACTGACCAATCAAGGCGTTCCATGGCTTAATACTGCATGTGTTTGTTTCAAGTTCTGTAGGTTATTGACGGTCTTTGCTTTGTCATGAACTCCAATTCAGCTAGGGGCACGGAATATTCTATCCTAGTCCATTGTGGTTTGATACTACAGTTAATTAAATTGCATAGGCTACAGTAAGAAACGAGTGATAGCAACAGTAAAAAAAAAAAAATCCAGTGTTTGCTCAATACATTTGTAGTGTTGACAGTCAACATTATTGTAATTAGCTTCAACGCCTTTATGCATCACACTTCTCCTTAAATAAAAAATTATAGGCTCCCGCAAATTGCATTGTATGTGAGGCACGTTCTCAATAAGCAAGATATAGCCTAGGCCTACCTTTGATATTGTTATAGAACTGAATAATTCAAATATGTTTGGAGGAGCATGTCTTTAGTAACCGGACAAGAGGAGCTCTTTGGAAATGGGGATGGATACATGCCGAATGGAGTATGCACTGCAGGTAGGCGTATGTGAATTGTGAATAATGCAAAAGCATGTCGGCAAAAGCGTCACGAGTATACCATTTAGAAACCTTTGATGGATAGGTTACTTAGCTAATGCATGGCCAGGATAAGAAAGAACCCAGACCCATTGCTGTTGAACCAGCTTTCATTATAGTAGTGTAAGGGTAGCCTATAAGGGCTTGTTCTTTAATAAAACGAAATGGAAAACAAGCAATTGTTACAGGAAAATAACTTAAATGTTTCTAAGTACCAGTGTCCCCGGATCATCTCATCTCTCGTTCCATGATGGGCATATAGCCTACATGGAGGGGTTTTTACGCACATCCAAAATAATAACAGGAGCTGGCTAAAATAATGTAATAGCCAACATAGATAAAAAGGGAATGTCTGCTCAATGTTTTGCTGCTCCCAAACATGATCTTTTAATAATGCTTTCGTGATTAAGATTTATTTCAAAGCGGTCTCATGAGCCAAACCCTTTATCGATAGTCTTGACTACTTGACGAATGCATTGGGCAGGACAAAAAAAACAGCCTTCATTGACAGGAGGGGAGGTTAGTCGAGGAAATTGATGTAATATGTACATGTGGGTAGAGTTAAAGTGACTATGCATAGATAATAAACAGAGTAGCAGCAGCGTAAAGGGGGGGGGGGGGGACAATGCAAATAGTCCGGGTTGCCATGAATAGCTGTTCAGGAGTCTGCGGTAGAAGAGAACTGTCTATGACTAGGGTGGCTGGAGTCTTTGACAATTTTTAGGGCCTTCCTCTGACACCGCCTGGTATAGAGGTCCTGGATGGCAGGAAGCTTGGCCCCAGTGATGTACTGGGCCATACGCACTACCCTCTGTAGTGCCTTGCGGTCAGAGGCCGAGCAGTTGCCATACCAGTCGGTGATGCAACCAGTCAGGATGCTGTCGATGGTGCAGCTGTAGAACTTTTTGAGAATCTGAGGACCCATGCCAAATCTTTTCAGTCTCCTGAGGGGGAATAGGCTTTGTCGTGGCCTCTTCACGACTGTCTTGGTGTGTTTGGACCATGTTAGTTTGTTGGTGATGTGGACACCAAGGAACTTGAAGCTCTCAACCTGTTCCACTACAGCCCCTTCGATGAGAATGGGGGTGTGCTCAGTCCTCTTTTTTTTCCTGTAGTCCACAATCATCTCCTTTGTCTTGATCACGTTGAGGGAGAGGTTGTTATCCTGGCACCACATGGCCACCAAGATCAATGCTTTGACTTCTTTCTCCCCTCTCTCTCCAGATAAAATATTGCGACTTGTGACGGCCGGCCGCTCAACAACCTGCCCGCTTGACCCCATCCCCTCCTCTCTTCTCCAGACCATCTCCGGTGACCTTCTCCCTTACCTCACCTCGCTCATCAACTCATCCTTGACCGCTGGCTATGTCCCTTCCGTCTTCAAGAGAGCGAGAGTTGCACCCCTTCTCAAAAAACCAACACTCGATCCCTCTGATGTCAACAACTACAGACCAGTATCCCTTCTTTCTTTTCTCTCCAAAACTCTTGAGCGTGCCGTCTTTAGCCAACTCTCTTGCTATCTCTCTCAGAATGACCTTCTTGATCCAAACCAGTCAGGTTTCAAGACTGGTCATTCAACTGAGACTGCTCTTCTCTGTGTCACGGAGGCTCTCTGCACTGCTAAAGCTAACTCTCTCTCCTCTGCTCTTGTCCTTCTAGACCTGTCTGCTGCCTTTGATACTGTGAACCATCAGATCCTCCTCTCCACCCTCTCCGAGCTGGGCATCTCCGGCGCGGCTCACTCTTGGATTGCGTCCTACCTGACCGGTCGCTCCTACCAAGTGGCGTGGCGAGAATCTGTCTCCGCACCACGTGCTCTCACCACTGGTGTCCCCCAGGGCTCAGTTCTAGGCCCTCTCCTATTCTCGCTATACACCAAGTCACTTGGCTCTGTCATATCCTCACATGGCCTCTCCTATCATTGCTACGCAGACGACACACAACTAATCTTCTCCTTTCCCCCTTCTGATAACCAGGTGGCGAATCGCATCTCTGCATGTCTGGCAGACATATCAGTGTGGATGACGGATCACCACCTCAAGCTGAACCTCGGCAAGACGGAGCTGCTCTTCCTCCCGGGGAAGGACTGCCCGTTCCATGATCTCGCCATCACGGTTGACAACTCTGTTGTGTCCTCCTCCCAAAGTGCGAAGAGCCTTGGCGTGACCCTGGACAACACCCTGTCGTTCTCCGCTAACATCAAGGCTGTGACCCGATCCTGTAGGTTCATGCTCTACAACATTCGGAGAGTACGACCCTGCCTTACACAGGAAGCGGCACAGGTCCTAATCCAGGCACTTGTCATCTCCCGTCTGGATTATTGCAACTCGCTGTTGGCTGGGCTCCCTGCCTGTGCCATTAAACCCCTACAACTCATCCAGAATGCCGCAGCCCGTCTGGTGTTCAACCTTCCCAAGTTCTCTCACGTCACCCCGCTCCTCCGCACACTCCACTGGCTTCCAGTTGAAGCTCGCATCTGCTACAAGACCATGGTGCTTGCCTACGGAGCTGTGAGGGGAACGGCACCTCCGTACCTTCAGGCTCTGATCAGTCCCTACACCCAAACGAGGGCATTGCGTTCATCCACCTCTGGCCTGCTGGCCCCCCTACCCCTGCGGAAGCACAGTTCCCGCTCAGCCCAGTCAAAACTGTTCGCTGCTCTGGCATCCCAATGGTGGAACAAGCTCCCTCACGACGCCAGGACAGCGGAGTCACTCACCACCTACCGGAGACACTTGAAACCCCACCTCTTTAAGCAATACCCCCCCCCCCCCCCCCCTTACCCCACCCCACACCCCCCCCCAAAAAAATATAATAATAATATTGTTAAGTGGTTATCCCACTGGCTATAAGGTGAATGCACCAATTTGTAAGTCGCTCTGGATAAGAGCGTCTGCTAAATGACGTAAATGTAAATGTAATGGCCAGGTCTCTGACCTCCTCCCTATAGGCTGTCTCATTGTTGTCGGTGATCAGGCCTACCACTGTTGTGTCGTCGGCAAACTTAATGATGGTGTTGGAGTCGTGCCTGGCCATGCAGTCATGGGTGAACAGGGAGTACAGGAGGGGACTGAGCACGCACCCCTGAGGGCCCCCCGAATTGAGGATCAGCGTAGCAGATGTGTTGTTACCGTCCCTTACGAGGTAAATTACCAATCCTGGCGTTATGGTTTGAAAATAGAAGAGTGACTGCTTTAACAGGTCGAAATTGCAAACAAGCGTGTGTTTGACAATTGTGCTGGCTTAACACCAGCCAAAAATAGAGCCCTATAAGTTTAACATTTCCTGCATTGCATGTTTTCCAATCTTAAGAGGTAAAATAAAAAATTTGTGCCTATTAAGTGCCAAATAAAGTAACATGGTTGACCATAACAGGGTTGTCGATTTCATCTTAAATCAGCCATAAATCAGGGGAAATGGAAGCTTGTTGTGTGTAAATTGTTAAAATATTTCTAGCCTGTCTATGGGTAACAGGGTTGATGTGTTATGCTCAACACGCTCAGTTGTCTAACACAAAACACCACAAAATGGTCAAAAAGAGTAGAACCAGCTCACCTGCTTCAATGTTTATTTTGAAAAAAAAATGTAAAAAGGAATAGTTTGACCATATTAAAAATGAGAGTTCAGTTCACATACAGTGGCTTGCGAAAGTATTCACCCCCCTTGGCATTTTTCCTATTTTGTTGCCTTACAACCTAGAACTAAAATTGATTTTTGGGGGGTTTGTATAATTTGATTTACACAACATGCCTACCACTTTGAAGATGGAAAATATTTTTTGAGCGTGCATAACTATTCACAAAAGGCACTCATTTCATGGAACGACCCAATTAAGGAAGTACATTTACATGACATACAAGTAGAGTGCTGATAGAACATCTAACTGACAATGACAGAGAGGATGAAAGGCAACAGCTTGGAAATGAGAGATGAGAGACAGAGAAACAACAATGAGTCATTCTTCAAACCACCAAGGATGAGTGTACTTTTCTCATTGTCAACAAACAATGCAAAAAAACGCCTTACAAAAATAGAAACCCAGAAATTCATGCATGCTTTGAATGACTTGCATGTGTTCGTCTGTAATTGGGCTAAACTAAAATGGGAGTAGACTGAATCGCTTGTAGGAGTAGGAGTGCTGATCTAGGATCAGGTCCCCCCCCCCCCCCCCCCCCCACCCCACCCCACCCCTCTTATTCATTATGATTTAAGGTAAAGATGATCCTAGATCAGCATTCCTACTCTGAGACACTTTCTGGATATGTGCCTGGTATGGGTGGTGTCATAGACGTGTAGTAGTGTGAAACTCAGAAGTAATTGCTTTCGCATGTTTGAGAAAGCGTTTACTACATACACTCACTGAATGTCTCATTCTCCCAGCATCCCACTCTTTCCAGTGCAGGAAACAAGACATCAAAACAACATTGCCAACCATTCCAAGAAAAGTCTCCAGACTTGAAACAGAGAGAAGTCATATAATTATGATGGAAAATGGCTTCGTACAGAGTAGACGTCCTAATATTTTGGGAAAATCAAGTCTCCTGTATATGGAAATCAAATGCCACTAGGGATATAGCCTTCTCACCCTGGTGGACAGATGTATGTTTCACATTTTCACCTTCATAGATGACTAACCACCCAAAATACTCTCGAAATACAAAAACAACTATGACAGTTTGGAGAAAGCCATATGAACTATAAAAACTCCCTGTCAATTGAAAGAGTAGTTTTACCTCAGATTGGATAGGTATGGCCAGTCTGAATGAAATGTTCCACTGCAAACTAAATGAAACACATTTCCAGACACCATACACTACTGTACCACACAGAGCACAAAATACACATTCACCTTAAACCATACATTTACTGTACATTGTTTCTCTCTATAACACACACACACACAAACACACAAACACACAAACACACATACTGTATAATATCTGGCCAAGAGCTATGCTCTACTATGCCCCGTGTAATAGGCCAGCTGTGCTGCAGCTGTGGTTTATGGGTGTCATCCCTTCCTCACACACAAAACACACACACACACACACACACTGAGCAGGCACCGAGCACGCACGCACAAACGCATGCACACACACACACACACACACACACACACACACATGCGTGCATACACACATACACACAACCTGACACCTTCGCTTATTTTGGCTAAAGCTCTGATTATAGCCCAGAATGTAGTGACAGATCCCATGCACACAGCCTGAGCACAGAGAGAAACAGAGGAAAAGAAAGAGAGGGAAAAAGAAATGAATGCAGCAGGAGTGCTGAGTGAGGACAAAGAGTGGGGAGACTCCCCCTACACCCTCCACTTCCCCTCTCTGTGTCCTCTCCTTCCTCATATTCACCTTTTTCTGATCCTCATATAAACTGGGTCGTGTCTCAAATGACACCCTATTCCCTATATAGTGCACTACTTTTGACCAGAGCCCTCTGGTGAAAAGTAGTGCACTATATAGGGAATAGGTTGACATATGGGACGTAGCCCTAGTCTTGCCTGCAAGGAAAGTCTATATCACGGAGGTTCTATATCTCAGTGGAGACCACATACACACCATAAAGAGATAAAGAGATGAAGCGAGGACATTGTTATGGTTGAGAGTAGAGAGCACAGGGTCAGCTCGGTGTTAAGATATCTGGTCACAGTTCATCATATACTGTATTCTACAGTACAGAATACAGATGTGAAGTGAATAGAGCATTGGGATCTCACTCCACATAACCATCTGGACCTGAATGCATGTTTAGGCTGTGGAGCTGTGGTTCCCTGGACAGCCCAGTACTACAGCTCCGCCAGTAAAAAAAAAAACATTTCAGTGGGTTCTGCTAGAGTGGCACCGAGTTCACCGCTCATCTGGTCTAAATTAGGGATGCATAAAAATATACAGTGGGGAACAAGGATGAGGATTGACTGCTGACTGACTGAACTCAAGTGTGAGTGTAAAGGACATCACTTTTAATGTAGTCGAGAATCCCCAATAACCACGAGAGATGTTAAACCGGTGTCATTTTGAGATGTTGTAAATAGGAAAAAACACATGTGTACACATATGGGAATAGTTAGCGCAATTATCACAGGAACAGTCTTAAGTTTGGCCTTCGGACCGTTGCGGGACAGTTTTCCCAAAGCTGGAAAAATCGGTACGCAGGAAGTAGAGCTCCACAAAGCCCCGGGTTGGTTCCCGGAGGTGTGATTGGGGGTGTTGGTTAAATAAACGGAGACAGGGTGAACGGGGGCACGTGTGCAGGGGTGCAGTAAGGGTGCAAGGGGGAGGACAGACAACGGTGCTGAGGTTTCGCAGAAAAGGGGGCGGCTGACTGTGTGTAAATGTTACTTTCGAGAGAAAATGGCTTGTTTTGGTTTCAGAGAGTGTGATGATCTTACAGTCGGTGGCATCGCTCAGAGTTTCCATGACTCTTCCACTAGCCTTAATTAATAACAATGAAACATTGTGCAACAGCATCCATGTCATGTTTGGGCAGACCGAAAGGGGTGACTGGGGACGTTAGGCACACAAACACACACACACACACACACACAACACACACACAGCCTGGTCCCCCCACACACACTCTCCAATGCAATCTTATTTCCTGGCAGGATATGAACAAGGACCCCACGCACAGTTTGGACACTCACTTTCTCAATGAACCGCACAACTTTAGTGAAATATGTCAAGCAACAACATGTTTCGGCATAATCAGGTTTGGTTGAACAATGCTAGCCACCACGGTTGCACAGTGACATACACTTTCCATTCTATGTCTCTAAAGTAGCATGCATGATAGATACACACGCATGAAAATATGTCTCTCCCTACCTCTATAAAGTAGCATGGGCTAAGTCCCAATTGGCACCTTATTCCCTATGGGTCCTGGTCAAAGGTTGTGCACTACATAGGGAATAGGGTGCCATTTGGGACACACCCATGCACTTTGACTGACAGATAGATAAACATGAAGAGGTGTCCCTGCTTACCTTTATACCCGAGGACAGCCACAGCGATGGTGAGTAGAGTACACAGCACGTAGAGCAGTGCTATCGAGGTCTTTAATGCCCACTCATTCTTACATTTAGTGCACTGGGTCCCCTCCTGGATCCCTACACAAGGAGAGAAATGTAGATTAATAAAAATGTGTATGTGAAAAATGTTTCGAAAATAGTTATGGACAGCATATTTGCTGTCCTTCCCACATCAATATTCACAATGTAACCATACGAAGTGAAAGGATGTTATGGTAATCATACCAAAACATTTAATACATCGTATGACGGTCCTGGGTCTCTGTGCATTGCCTGTGGTAGGGGTATTCAACTCTTACCCTACGAGGTCCAGAGCCTGCTGGTTTCTGTTCTACCTGATAATTAATTGCACCCACGTAAATCAGTCCCTGATTAGAGGGGAACGATGAAAACAGGCAGTGGAACTGGTTTCGAGGTCCAGAGTTGAGTTTGAGGGGCCTAGTGCACTATATAGGAAGCAGGGTGCCATTTGCGACACATATGGTCAGGGGTCTATTGTGGCTCAGATGGCTACAGAGCCAGGCTATGTGGAGACAGCAGAGAGCCAGGTCAGAGTGGGGCCTGGCTGGCCCTATGTGGGCTGGGGGTCTGGGGTCTCTCCAGGTACTGGGTCTGAATCTCCAGGTCCCCACATCTGGACAAACAGCCTGGAGGCCACATTAAAGGGTCCACTGGTCCCCTGAGGGCCCGGTTGGTGAGGGGGTGAGGGACACCAAACACACACACACGTAAGATGTAAGAGATATGATATCAACCTCCTCTGATTCAAACCATGGACTTTCAAGTGCCTCTAACCAGTGGGGAAAGTCACAGAGCCACGCAGGCATTCTCCAACATTCTCTTGGAATATTTCTTTCCAAGGATATGTTTCCTGACAGATGAGTGCCGAGATCCGCAGTGCTGACGGGAACACATCTGTATTTCATTTTAATTCAGGAAGTGGGGGAAAATCAAAGGTCCTGCTTTCCATGTACCTGAAATAAAACTCCTTTGCATGTCCACCGCAAGGAAAGCCACTTTTTCCATGGCAACACAAAGACGGCCTGTGCCAATGCAATCTTTGTGTTAACACTTCTTGGCCTATGCTAAATATATGCCTATTGGGCTTCCTGTTTCGTTTTAATGTGATTATGATAATGAATTATATCCTAATAATTTCCATTAAAAGCAGAGGTGTAGAAATGGTGTAGACTAGCTTTCCAGTGTAGCCTACAGTCTTAAAAAGAAAGGTTCCAGTTGGAACCAAATAAGGTTATTCAGAGCGATGCCATAGGGGAACCATTTTAGGTTCTCTGAAGAACCTTAAATGGGATGGTTCTTTGAGGAAGAACACACACTCAACATATTATTTTATGCAAATAAGGTGTTGAGCCTTATTTGCATATTTCCCAGGGTGCCTTTCAAGTGAATTTTACAGTTACCAGTACCACCCATGACTGTGTTTGCTAGTAACAGAGACATGGTTGTCGCTTTCATTCATTTTCACTCCTGTGGCCTTCACCAAGTGAGATCCTAAGTGAATGTGTCAACATTCAAATTAAATGTTTTAAGACAATTTATATTTTAAAAGGCTTTATTTTGAGGGCCTAGTTTAACCCTAACAAAGTGACCTGAAACGTATGGTTTACAGGCCACATCAGGCCTGCAAGTTGCATGATGCTGGCTTGCAAAGTGACGTGTTATTCCTATTAGAATCCAGACAGAGTGGGGATATTCAACATTCTGAATTTTTATTCACCCGCAACCTATATTCAGAATGACTGCTAGGGTTGGGAGGACTAAGATACTGTATGAGATACCTAAAGCAGGGGTATTCAACTCTTACCCTACAAGATCCAGAGCCTGCTGGTTTTCTGTTCTACCTGATAATTAATTGCACACACATAGTGTCCCAGGTCTAAATCAGTACCTAATTAGAGGGGAACAGTAAAACAAAAAGAATTGCAGTGGAACTGGCTTCAAGGAACCTAAAGCATCTAAAGCCATTTAGCAGACGCTTTTATCCAAAGCTACTTACAGTCATGTGTGCATACATTTTTATGTATGGGTGGTCCCGGGGATCAAACCCACTACTCTGGCGTTACAAGCGTCATGCTCTACCAATTGAGCTACAGAGGACCACCGAGAACCCCACACTTAACTCAAAGGTTCTTTATCGGGCAAGAGTTCTCCAAGGAACCTTAAGAGCTGAGGAAGAACCATTTAAGAATCTTAATAATTTTCTTCAGTGCACTGGAACCATTTGGTACCAGAGGACTTGTATCACCACCCATACAGTTGAGAAGAGGTATAGCTAGCGAGGGATAGCTTTAGCCAATTAGAAAATACTGGAGTGATCAGGTCATCATTGTAAATAAGATTTCGTTTTTTAATTTATTTAAAAAAGTTAGTCAGGTTGCTCGGCTGCTATAGGGCCGCAGTGGGACTTGAAGATGCATTGTGTCCACTCAACCAAGTCGGAGGGAAAATTTGATTTACCTGAAAGAGTGTTGAGGCACGGACAAGGCATACGCAAACACGGTTCAGCACTCCAAGCTTTCACTAGCTCCTAGCCAACCTTCAGTCATTCAGGTTGACTCAACTCGCTGGCGGTTCAAGCAAGCAGCAGTTCACTAACTTCCCTAGCTCACTGAGGCTAAGTATGCACTCCCCATCGCCCCTAATGACCACATGGAGCACTTCAGCAGTCAGCACACTGCTCTATTACACAACATGGTAAGATAACGTAACTGGAGAGTTGTTATTTTTCATTACTGTTTATCTTTAACAACAGTCACTATAATTACAGCTAAAGAAGGTAACTAACCGAGAGAAAGTCAGAGAAGGAGAGTAGAGAGACAAAGAGACGGACAAAGAGCGATAACAGATGGGAAGTAACAAGAAAGAAGAGAGAGGAAAAAGACAGAGAGAAATAAAGAGAACAAGAGAGAAATGAGAGAGAGAGAGATGAATGATAGCACCTGTACGCCTTGCTATCCTGACACCACACGTTTCTCTTTGGCGCTGAGGTACCTGGTCCACCTCTCAGTGAGTCAGAAATGGCACCCTCACATGGCTTATGATGGCCCCATCTATAACTGGCCCCTCGGTGGTCCCCTTAAAATCTCCTAACAAGGACTAGAGCCTACCAAGAACATATCTTACAATCACTGTGCCAGTTCTGTGTGTGCAGCCAGTTATACAGAATCACCTCAGACAGGTCCAATAGCAGCTGACCAATGTCTTGGTCGGTGAGATGTATTGGTCAGTGACAAAGCTCCTCTTCAATCAGTGGTTTGCCTCTATGCATAGATCATTGTAGATCATAGCAATTGTCATTGAGTATGTAGCCGTCAGGCCTAAACAAAATGGATATCAAAGCTTCCGAACATTTATAACGACTGACGTGTGTTTGGAGTACAAACCCAATGCCGGCTTCCACTGCTAAACAAGCACATGAGAACATCACTTCAAAGTAATCAAAAAGGCTTGGGCCAGAAACAGCAGTGCTATCTAAATATGTTGACAGAGTTCTTATAAATCTATTGCTCTGAAAGTAAATCAAAACACTAGAAAATGAATTTTTACAATACACAGACAAGGCATTCCAGCTTTTTCCTCATTAGACAATGTCGACAGGATCAACTGAGCACTCAGGGTTAGCTGTCCAAGTATTCAACATGGAAGACAGCTGTCAAAACACAAACAGGGCCGCCACAACAACAAAGCAACCTGCAACCCCCTCCATTTTCAAGCTCCTTCCATCCCTACTCTCTCCAATCGATGGTCAGATTTAGAGAGAAGGGGGCTGGAAGTATCAGATGAAGCAGCTGTGTTCTGTTGGACTCTTGTGTTTTTCTGCACCCCAGTGAGATCCCAGTGACAGTCCAGGGTCGTGATCCAAAGGTCATGACTTGGTTGTTTGTCGCCCAGTGGGTGACTTCCTGGATGGGCCCTTCAGTCTGACAACAGGACAACAGACACAGGCATTATCCTAAATGTCATCATATTTCCTATATAGTGCACTACTTTTGACCAGGACTTTGGTCAAAGTAGTGCACTATATAGGGAATAGGATCCCATTTGGGACGCAGACATAGATGCTGGACTCCTGACTGCATCACATCAAAGTCAGGTCAATAAACATTGTCACTGACTGGGAAAGCATTTGTATGTCCATACCACCCATGTCATATGTATATACTGTATTCTATACTATCTTAATAATGTTTACATATCTTGCATTACCCATCTCATATGTATATACTGTATTCTATACTATCTATTGCATCTTAGAATATGCCACTCTGATAATGATAATGACATTGCTCATCCATATATTTATATATTCGTATTCCATTCCTTTACTTAGATTTGTGTGTATTAGGTTTTTGTTGTAGAACTGTTAGATATTACTTGCTAGATATCGCTGCACTGTTGGAACTCGAAGCACAAGCATTTCGCTACACTCGCAATAACATCTGCTAACCATGTGTATGTGACCAATACATTTGATTTGATTTGATACCATAAGCACCTGGGATACAAGGGCCACAGATTCCCTTGTTGAATATTAGAAGAGTAATAGTCATCTGACAGATGGACATTGGACAATTCAAACAAAATGTGAAACATAAACTGTCTGTTCTCATATCAGATCACCAAACCAAATCCACAAAACAGACTGCAACATAGAGGAGAGAACCACTGATAGCTGATGCCATTTAAACATTGAGGTTTGAATTTACCAGAGAGGAAGAGGCGAAGCGAGAGGTTTTACTCCGGCCAAAACGGAGTGATAAGTCCACGAAGTGACTGTAGGCTACAGTGAAAATCATTCACAGGCTGGTCTGTGATTATAAAAATTTCAGAGGAAGGATCTGAGAGAAATAAGAGCAGACTCCAGAGAAATGGAGACAAGAGGGGCGGCAGGTAGCTTAGTGGGTAAGAGCGTTGTGCCAGTAACCGAAATGTCGCTGGTTCTAATCCCAGAGCCGACTAGGTGAAAAATCTGTCAATGTGCCCTTAAGCAAGGCACTTAACCCTAATTGCTCATGTAAGTTGCTCTGGATAAGAGCGTCTGCTAAATGACTAAAA